CCGGTGTGCGCGCAACCCTCTGCGGAGATCGTGCGTGTCGAGTGCGCAAAATGCAGGCACTGGCGACTTTCTAGTGCTACTTCAGTACGCGGAGCAATCTGTGGAGCTGGAAGCTGAGAACTGGCGACTTTGTAGTACAACTTGAGCACGCGGAGTCTCTGGGGAGCTGGAAGATGAGAACTGGCGACTTTGTAGTACAACTTTAGTACGCGGAGTAATCTGTGGAGCTGGAAGCTGAGAACTGGCGACTTTGTAGTACAACTTTAGTACGCGGAGTATGTGGGGAGCTGGAAGATGAGAACTGGTGACTTTGTAGTACAACTTTAGTACGCGGAGTATCTGGGGAGCTGGAAGATGAGAACTGGCGACTTTGTAGTACAACTTTAGTGCACGGAGCAATCTGTGGAGCTGGAAGCTGAGAACTGGCGACTTTGTAGTCCAACTTTAGTACGCGGAGTATCTGGGGAGCTGGAAGATGAGAACTGGCGACTTTGTAGTACAACTTTAGTACGCGGAGTATCTGGGGAGCTGGAAGATGAGAACTGGCGACTTTGTAGTACAACTTTAGTACGCGGAGTATCTGGGGAGCTGGAAGATGAGAACTGGCGACTTTGTAGTACAACTTTAGTACGCGGAGTATCTGGGGAGCTGGAAGCTGAGAACTGGCGACTTTGTAGTACAACTTTAGTACGCGGAGTATGTGGGGAGCTGGAAGATGAGAACTGGTGACTTTGTAGTACAACTTTAGTACGCGGAGTATCTGGGGAGCTGGAAGATGAGAACTGGCGACTTTGTAGTACAACTTTAGTAGGCGGAGTATCAGGGAAGCTGGAAGATGAGAACTGGCGACTTTGTAGTACAACTTTAGTACGCGGAGCAATCTGTGGAGCTGGAAGATGAGAACTGGCGACTTTGTAGTACAACTTTAGTACGCGGAGTATCTGCGGAGCTGGAAGATGAGAACTGGCGACTTTGTAGTACAACTTTAGTACGCGGAGTATCTGGGGAGCTGGAAGATGAGAACTGGCGACTTTGTAGTACAACTTTAG